CCAGAGCAGTGCCTCACTTTTGGCTACTTTATTTTATTTTATGCTCCACTTTCATCATAATGTTGTATCACACAACTCCTATAAATGGAGTCCCTTCTTACAACTTCAGATATTCAATATATAAGAGTTTCTCTTACTCTCTTAATATCACTCTTATTTCTTTCATGGTATCAGAGCACAGGTGTATTGCCTAGTCTCTTCTGCATCACATTTTTATCTTGAGCAGATTGTTGCATATTTCGTCCTTATCTGAATTACAGATTGGACCACACCAAAACCTTCGTCTCCTCACGACGAATCCAACGCAACCAGATTCATCATCATCCGACGTTCCACGCGCCGCCAGAACTTTTATCCACGCGCCTCCTCGCCTCTCAGACGCGCTCTACGCGCTTCACACTTGCCCTGTGCTATCGTGCGCCGCGGCCTCATCTACTAACGTGAGCCGCGTGTTTTTGACGTCAGCCCTGGCTGCTTCCGTGCGCCGCTTGCTTCCTCTGCTATCGTGCGCCGCGCCTGTCTGTGCTAACGTGCGCCGCGCCTGTGACACAGCAGTGACGTCATCTTGACCAGATTGTGACGTCATCTTTGACCAGAATTGTTGACCAACTTTGACCAGCCAATTTAGTGCCTTCTGGTCATCTTTTTTTTGGTCCGTTCACTCATTTCCCACTAATTTCGACCCTCTGAATTCACTGGTAACCTCAGATTTTTCAGATTCGGCTTCGATAATACTGCTTTTTTCTCATGGATCGCCTGGACTCCTCTAACCACCCTATTTCCGTTGTTCTTGACGGACCTAACTATGTCTTATGGGCACAAGCTATGTTTGGGTTCCTCAAAGGCAAGAAACTTTGGCGCATCATCACTGGGGATGTGTGCAAACCATCCCAGCCACCACAGAATCCGCTGCCACCACGGACTCCGTTGCCAAATATGCTGACCGTCTGGAGGATTGGGATAGCAAAAACTATTAGATCATCACTTGGCTCCGTAATACTTCTATTACTTCTATCAGCCTTCAGTTTGGTCGGTTCCAACTTGACTCTACTTCCTCTCCAGCCAAAGCCATCTGGGATTTTTTACAAGAACGCTACCAGACTACTGGCCTTACTCACCAATATCAGCTTCTGAGTCAACTTCACCGTATGCGCCAAGACACAACTCAAACCATTAATGATTTCCTCTCACAAATGTATTATGTTTGGGATCAGCTCGCTCTCTCTGAACCTCCCTGGGATTGTACTAAGGATGCTGCCTTGTTCACTACTTACCGTGACCAACAACGCTTGGTTCAGTTTCTCATGGCTCTCACTCCCCGTTTTGAGCCAGTCCGCGCATCTCTCCTTCATCGCACTCCTTTACCCACTCTTGAGCAAGCAATTTCTGAACTACTGTCAGAGGAAACCAGGTTTGGTACTCTCCATCCACACCCTGTGGACTCTGTTCTTGCTACTTCCCAGATTCGAAGTTCTCCTTCACCATCTTCCCTACAGAAGACACCTATCTGCAACTACTGTCAAAACCGCAGTCTTCCATCGACTCATCTTCTGGTTAATTGTCCAGTTCGTCTTTGTTGGTTTTGCAACAAGACTGGTCCTGGTCATCTCCAGCATGATTGCTTCCGCAACCCTGCCCGTGCCTCTCACAATGGTCCCTCCCCCGGGCATTTTTCCCGCAACAACTCTCACTGTTCTGGGCCTCCGTCTAAACCAATGCCTGCTCCACGCACTGCTGCTACTGCCTCCGAGGATTTACCTGCCTCTGTCCCTATAGATCCTTCCACTCCAGTCTTCTCTCACACATATGTCGACGCCATGTTTCACAATTGGCAGAATTTCGGTACTCCTCCATCTCCTGCTTTGTCTGTCACCGCAGGTAACACTTCCTGGTACTTTGACTCCGCTTGTTGTAATCACATGACCTTTGACCCTACTATTTTTACTCCTCTCTCTTCTACTTCTCCTGTTCCTTCTATCCATACTGCTGATGGGTCTCTTCTATCTGTAAGTCATGTTGGTTCTGTTTCCACCTCTCACTTATCTTTATCTCATGTCTATCTTATGCCTGCTCTCACTTTAAATCTTATATCCATTAGTGAATTATGTGAGCATGGTCTAACTATTAGCTTTTCCCCTTCTGGTTGTTTGGTGCAGGACCCTCGGACGGGGCAAACTCTTGGGATCGGCCGTAAGCATGGACGTCTCTACGAACTTATCCATCTTCATGTTCCGGATTCCTCTCAGATCACAGCTCCTACCACTGCCACCACTGCTCCTCCTTTATCTCCTTTTCAGCTTTGGCACTGTCGTTTAGGCCATCTTTCTGTTAGTCGTTTAAAATCTTTAATTTCTCGTGGTCATTTAGGTCCTGTAAATTCTGATGCTTTAGATTGTGTGTCCTGTCAACTTGCCAAACAACCTGCTTTGTCGTTTAATAAAAGTGACTCTGTTTCTCTTGCACCATTTGATCTCATCCATTCTGATATTTGGGGACCCTCTCCTACTCCCACTATGGGCGGCGCCCGCTATTTTGTTGTTTTTGTAGATGATTTTTCTCGTTTTACATGGTTGTTTCTTATGAAAAATCGATCTGAGCTCAAACAGCTTTATTACAATTTTTCTGTAATGGTTAAAACACAATTTTCTAAAACTATTAAACTTTTTCGTTCCAACAATGCCATGGAATATAAAGATTTTGACTTTCTTTCTTTTCTTCAGAGTCATGGTACTCAACCTCATCGATCCTGTCCCGGCACGTCTCAACAAAATGGACGTGCTGAACGGAAACATCAGCATATTCTCGACACTATTTGCGCTCTTCTTTTGTCTTCCTCTTGTCCGGAACATTTTTGGGGAGAGGCAGCTCTCACTGCTGCTTACACTATCAATTGTATCCCTATCCCTGTCATTCAGAATCACACTCCTTATGAGCGTCTGCATGGCACCCGTCCTCCCTACACCAACCTTAGAGTCTTTGGCTCTGCCTGTTTTGTTCTTCTCCAACCTCATGAACGTACCAAACTTGAACCTCGTTCCCACCTTTGTTGCTTCTTGGGGTATGGTATTGAACATAAGGGGTATCGTTGTTGGGATCCTTTCTCCCAACGACGTCGTATCTCTCGACATGTGGTCTTTTGGGAATACAAAATGTTTTCCTCTCTCTCTCTCCCTTCTGTTTGTCCGTTCCCTCACCCTCTCTTTTTTTTACTGACCCTTCCACAGATCTTTTTTCTGATGACCTTTCTCTACCACCCTTGCCACCCTCTCTCGAGTTTTCTGATCCGTTTGCTCCACCGCCCCTGCCATCCTCTCTCGAGATCGCCTTGCCTACCGGTTTGTCCCCTGCACCTGCTCCCTCTGATGGTCCTGCTCTTGCTCCATCGGGATCCTCCTCTCCTGCTGAGTCTCTTCCTCTGGCTCCTCCTCCCTCTGCTCGACCACATCGGGTAACCTAACCTTCTACTCGTCTTCGTGACTTTATTGTTGGTTCTACTGCTTTTTCTACTTATGAACCGACCTCCTATCGTGAGGCTCGCTCTAATCCTCTTTGGCAGCAAGCCATGACTGATGAATTGCAGGCTTTAGACAAAACTCATACTTGGGACATTGTTGATCTTCCTCCTGGCAAGACTGCCATTGGCTGCAAATGGGTATACAAAATCAAGACTTGTTCTGATGGATCTATTGAGCGTTACAAAGCCCGCCTTGTTGCAAAAGGCTTTAATCAAGAATATGGTATTGATTATGAGGAGACCTTTGCTCCTGTTGCTCGTCTCACCTCTGTTCGCAGCTTGATTGCTGTTGCTACCGCTCGCCAATGGGATCTTTATCAACTGGACGTGAAAAATGCTTTTCTTAATGGTGTTCTTCTCGAGGAGGTCTACATGCAACCTCCCTGGGTCTGCTTATCTCCCGCATCAAGTCTGCAAACTTCGGCGTGCTTTATATGGTCTCAAACAAGCTCCCCGTGCTTGGTTTGCCAAGTTCAGCTCCACTATTCAGAAATGTGGTTTCACCTCCAGCTCTTATGATACTGCTCTTTTTATCCAAAAAAAAAAAAATGGTGAGTTTTTTTTAATTTGTTTGGTAAGTTTTCGTTTCATTTTTTTTGATAGAATTCTTCGATTTTTGTTCGGTGTGTCAAAATCGAATAAAATAAAATAGTTCGGAATTACATTGTTGAACGAAAAATAAATGTCCAGTAATTTACTGCCGAATAAAATATACATTTTCAGTAATTCAAGGCCGAACGTTTTTAATTTGTTCAGTTACTCACTACTGTGCATTTCCATTTCATTTTTTTAAAAATATTTTTGTTATTTGCTTGGAAGGATTATGTTTCTATTCATTGCAGTAATGCAAGTACAATCGTCTGGCTGCTGAACATCTTGAAAGGCATTCATTTGTTGATAGATTATCTGAGGAGGAAATATCATTATTAGTTGACATGTCAAAGAGTATGATGCGACCAATAGAGATATTGATTACATTGAAACGAAAGGATGTCGTTAATGTGACAACAATAAAGACAATCTACAATGCACGTAAAGTGATAGGTGGCTGGATAAATTTATTTTAGTTTGACAACATAACACTAGATTAATCTAATTTATGTAGTAATATATCACCAAACAGGCACTTAACAAATAGGCTCCAACTTGTTAAAGTAAAGTAAAATCATCTCGACAACAAATTGCTAAAAAAATTAGTTCATCTGGTAATATGACACTGGAATAATTCAAATTTTTTAGCATTGTATCATCAAAAGATATCAATGTAAAGGGACAAAATTGAAAGGGTTTCGAAGAGTTTTAGTTTAGGGTTAGTTTTTGATAGTATAATAAGTGTAATGAGAATAACTTTTTTTTAGTAGTGTAATGACAGGGAGAGTGTAAAGATAAGTTGTCTAAAAATTTAGTTTTATTAGACATTATTAGGCACATGAACAATTACAATTTTAAAAATAGATGCCAATTATAAATCTAAACTTAAACAATCTATTATATAAAATAAAATATAAATTGTTCATATATTGATTGATATATAACGAAACTGATTCTTTGTACAGTCAGTCTTTATATGGGATGGGTTCTAGTAAGCTCGCCGGAAATGATGGATTTCGCCAGAAACCTGTAGGAGAAGATGAATTTTGCTGAAAGAGATGATTTTTTCTGGAAATGAAAGAGAGAGGCTCGCCTTGTTGATAATCAAACTAGATTCAAGAAGAGATTGAGAGAAATGGTGCTTGGATAAAAGATCAAAGAAAGAAAACTAGAGAGATAGGAAACATAAAAAATAAACGAATGACCACATGAGAAAGATTCATCTTCTCCGACGGATTGAGAGAAATGGTGCTTGGATGAAAGATCACTCTTTTATTTCAACTCTCCAACTTTGCTGCTATGTTGGTTCTGAATCATGAGCTATGGGTGGGTGTATACATTCCCAAGATTAGCTTGAAGTCCAAGCAATTGATTATGGTGCTGCCATGTGACCACATGAGAAAGATTCCCTCCCTAACTGCCTGATCGAGATAATTGCAACCCCCAACCAATGTCTTCTCCTCAGGTATCCCCGAGAACAATAAGATGTAAGAGGGTTTTACAAATTATCTTGACAAACCTTTGATTTTAGCCACCAAATCAACAATTCCCACCATCTCAAGATAAATGCCAGGTGTGGTCCAAGGGACTTCCTGCCATATGATACCAAGTCCAAGGGGACTTCCCAAGTCCTGCTACCTCAACTTTGAGTAAAGACTAATTTGAGTGATGAACGAATTTATCTTCGAGTTCTCCATCTTCAAGAGAAGGTCCATTTTCAAACTCGTCACATCATGGCTCTAACATGTAAATTATGGCTCTAAACCTTTTCGAGTCCGGTTGCAAAGGATATTTGGATTCATGGTTCTCAACCATTTCAAGTCCAAAAGTTTGTCCTGAGAATTTCGTGGTTTGAACTCTTTGTACCACTTCTAGCCTTCAAAGTTTGGGCAGGAGATTTGAATTTCATACTTTTAAGTTTCCACTTCTTACAGTCTTCATTATAAGGACTATAAGATAAACAATTCCAATCATCTTATGGGCCCAATGTGAGACCCACAAAATGAAATATGAAGAAATATAAAGAATATTCAATGCCTTTTTCTTTTTGTTTTTAAATGCTAAATCTATAATTATGCCACATCATTTTGTGTAATTTTGGAAAATTTTATCAAATACCTGCCAACTTTCTTAAGAATATAGTTCAAGATTTCAAATAATCTCAATTAAAAGTTTTTCCATGGGCTCAACAACCTCTATTACAGATGTAAGCAAGAATGGAAAACATTGTCTGTGTCAAAGTGAGCAGAAGCAACATAATAGCTCCAAGAAACGAAATGATTGTCCATGGGCTGCTAAAATAATTACGCCTTAACATCGCAGTCCATATGTTCCGACGTTGCTTACTATACTCGCTTACGTCGTTAAATACTTGAGAGTAATAAAAATTGTCACGAGGTGCAAAGGCACAAGTAGAAATCTTGTTAAGAATTGACACAACCGCTTCATCACCACCTAGCATGTTTTTGAGAATTCCACGGCGACGAAGCAAGGAGACATCTTGTGACGAGTTAATGAGGCAACACAAGAAAGTTAAATAATCACTGATATATTTGAGGCCAATGTCCTCCTTGAGATGATGTTGCTCGTATGCAATTACATTTCTAAAAAGACATTCTATCTTCTCATGTATGACGAATGTCGGGATTTCTAATACCCCATTTTTAAATTTTACATCATAAAAGAATGTATTGTGCTTAGATTTCTTGAACTTGATCCCAACCTCATGTAGCTCTATGGCACAATGTATGTGTTCCCATATCTTTTTCTTGTTTGCGATGACACTTGTTAGAGGTACTGATTTCGAAAGCGAAAAAGATGTAATTTGGTGTGCCAGACCAAGAAAATGCTTCACACCACAAGTTGAAATTCCATTATAAGCATATAAAATCTTTTCAAGACCTGGCGATGCACTATAAAATAAATATTGACTGACACAACAACAGTATCGAATGGCTAAATCAATGATATTGTCATGAGGGTCAAGAACTTTGGTCATATCGAACAACTGCACAAGAACAAAGAATGGAAGTTGATTTTCAAATAACAATAAGTCACGCCATATACTTGGAAGTATCCAATCAATTTTGAAGAGTGGGTCATTTCTATCTCTCATACTTGTTATGGTAAATTTGCGAAACAACTCAATGAGAAAGCAGCTGTCAAGAAGCATCATTTTCACAAACTCGTCTTTGTTAAGCCATACAGAGTTTGCATAACATCTAAGTGCTCGTTCTTGCAAATCTCTCATGGCTACTATGTATCTATCCACACTAGTCTCATTTCTTCGTTTAAGAAGCAATTGCAAATACCGTAATTTGTGTTTTTCCATCCATTGTAGGTTGTCTTTACCATGGTGATATGGTCCTATAGCAATTATTTCTGGTTCATATAACTTTTCATTTTGCCAACGTAGTCGATCATGCACTTTGTAGATATAACACTCGGAGTCTTTACCACATAGGTGTGCAAGCTTTTCATCTAAGTGAAGGGAGACAGGATCAACACTTGCATTCGACAGCATATTCTGTAAAATTAGTGGAAATCCTGTCTAAACAAATTACCAAATTTATTATATATATATATATATATCTATAAAAGAAAAAAAGAAAGAACATATGATATATTACGTAAATGAAGCCAAACTTAAAAGATCACAGACCAGTCTAAAAGAGTTTTCCAAAAAGATTTTCTCATAAATTTCAAAGCTCACATTACAGACTGACCATCGCTAGTATATTTTTTTAGTTATCTAAAAAAAATGGAACAACCTTGAAATGCTTCAAAGTCTATCTCCTATATCTAATTTTTTGGCAAATTTTCTGAAGAATTTTTATTTTTTATTTTTTATTTTTTTGAGTTGGTGATCTAATTGGAGTGGTGCTATTGGGTTGGGCTCCTCGGTTCACTTTAGGACCGCCTAATTGATTGTAACCTTTCAATTTATAGGATCCGTAGATAAGTTAATTTATTTAAAAAATTAAATTAATTGGATATTGATAATTACAAGATCGTATCACATTTATCTTACAAAATTGGACAACAAAATTTATCTAGTGGAATCACCATTGGAGAGGAACTCAACCCTTAAGAATTTCAGTGATAGATAACATTAGGTGAAGCAAAATGCTACCTATAATCTTATTCCTCATATCTTTTTCTCACTACAAAACACAAGAAAGCAAGCAGATTTTATCTGCATTTATGAATATAAAGGCCTAGGGCCTATTACTTTGAGTTCAAGAGTGAGAAACTAAAATAAAAAATATAATTATATAGAACATTACTCTTAGATAAAACTACTAAAACTACATACATATGCATGTGTTTCTCAAACCGTTTGCAGGCCAATGCTCCTCCTGATCCCCCTCTCCTTGTGCTAGGAATGGCAACGGACCGGGCCGGGCCGGGGCCGGGGATCAGGTGTGATATTTAGTTCAAATCTTGTCATTGTGTCTAGGAAGCAAGATATTAGATATAATACGATACAAACACGACTATAGAACAAAAAGTAAAAAAATATGGAATCAATATGATTAGGATATGTTTTTTTAAAAAATAGATAAATTATTTTTTAAAATTATTATTAACAAGTTATGCATAAAATCAAGAATGTTGAAAAATCATACTATAATTTTATAATACAAAATATTAACATTTAAGAATTATATATTAATTTAAGACAGTAGCTTGTTTACTTTTTAATTTTCAATAAATCTTGAAAACATTTTATTTCAATATCTAATATGTTTGTATTACAATAATAAAACAATTTACAACTTGTCCCTGCATTTTTCCTTTTGACACAGATAAAGAATATTGTTTTCAAGTTTACTTGCTTATTTATATGTTGATATTTAAATTTAATTATACTATTATTATATTCTCTTATTAATACTTACTTTCTATATAATTATATGGGACATGCATGAAAGACAAAAGATATATCAATTGGACAAATTTAATTACTTTAATTCACTATATTTTTTCTTATCAAATAACTAAATAAAATATTAGAAAAGTATTCTTATATTTATCCTTACAATTATTTATATTATATTATTATACAAGAAATACTACAATTTTAATTTTGTAAAAGAAGTATTATGTAATTTAGAGTATCTGATACATATCTATGAATATCCAAAAAGTAGATATCTAATACAAACATAATAAAAATACGTCTCTCTTTTTGAAATATCGGAAAAAAATATCCGTACTTCATAACAGTGTCTTATGGAAATTTTGATTTCTTTCATTTTTTCCCTTCTAGCTACCAATTGTTAATATATATATAAACAAATAAATAAATAAGTGGACAAACATACCAGGAAGGAGAGGCCTCCAAATATAAACCAATTCACTTACAGACACCTCAAAAACCAAGAGCAGGATGACAGTCGAGAGGACTTTCCAAACAACAACAAACTTTTATGACTCTTTTTATCTACATACATATGCATATTCATCCATATATATATAAAGGGTGAGTGAACAATATATATATTTTTTGTTGAATTTATCTTATTTTTGTCTGTTATGAAAGGTTTTCTTTACCCTCGAATTTATTTATGTCCACTCACTAAGACGGCTATTATTACAAAACTATTGAATAGACTTTTCAACTGCAAAATTATTATTTTCTTCTTTATTTATATCCACTCACTAAGACCTCTATTATTACAGGACTATTGAATAGACTTTTCAACAGCAAAATTATTCTTTTCTTCTCTCCAATTCTGCATTCACACCAAACCAATCAAGATATGTATCCAAACACAATATTTCAATGGTCTGGCCAGCCTCGCCGGATTTTAAAATGACAGTTCAGGCTTAAGCTTTTGGGCTGGATTCAGGCCTGAGCTTAACCGGACCGGGTCCACTCCGAACTGTTGGCGGGTTTCGGACCGCTTACGGGTCACGAGTCATTTTTACACCCCTAACTAGATGTAAGCTGAGATCAATTAAAATTTATGAATATTATTGAAAAAAAACAATGGTAACTCGCAATTTTTAAACAATGTTTAAATTTTGAATTATATAATAGTGATTTAAGAGGGAAAAAAAAAAAGAAGAGACAAATATTCACAATAATATAAATCAATTTTTTTTTTACTTTTTCTTTATAATTTTCTTTTTGTCTCTCTTTGAAAACGTATATTGAAATATAAGATTCAAATACATCCTCAATTAAACACGAATATATAGTTTGAAGTGGTCGGTATGACCAGCAGCCTCAATTAGAGAAAAGTCTAACAAGCTGCCATCTGTCATGTTTGAATTTTGGCACCAGAACACTTGTGGTAGAGAGTTATCAATGCCGAATTAATTTAATTTTTTATAAATAATTTTTTCAATAACTCTTATAAAAATAACGGTTTGAATCATTAAAATTAATTTGAAAGTAGTCTCACTGATCCTAACATCTATTTTTATTCATTTAGCTTGCCGAGATAAAACTGTTATGTACCAAAAACAAAATTTGGGATAAATTACTTTGGCAGTCCCTACATTTTATCCAGTGTTATTTTAGTTTTACACTCTCAATTGACTCAATTTTGACCCTTAATTTTAAATTTTATGTCAATTTGGTCTAATTGATAACACCATTAGAAGTTTTGACAGAAAGTAATTACTGAATTAGTTGAGGTTGACTCATTGAGTTAAAAGCATAAAACATGCCACTTATGTGTGCATTTTTCATAAAATAATACTTACAATTGTGTTTAGGTGGAATTCTATTCCAGTATACTAATGTCAGTTCTATATTAAATTTGTTGTCAGACAAATTTCAGTTTCTGTTGTGATTATACAGTCAATTTTAAATCTGTTTTGCATGTTTCGTCTATGGGTATTGATTCTTTTTCTGTTTTCCATATCTATTATAAGAATAAGACATCCATTTGGTTTTCTAAAATTCTATCATTTTGATTATGACCATTAAGTCATATTGAGTAAGTATGCAACATCAATTAATTTAATTTAATTTAATGGATAATAATGTTTTTCAAAAAATACAGATTGTTAGTTTTCTTTTCTGGATTTTGTTGTATATGCATTCTGTTTTCAATACAGAATTTTATTCTATGTTTTTTTTTTTGGAACACTTTTGGTTTGTTTACCAATAGAATTTTTAGTTATTATGTTGTCTTTAACCGTAATTTTTGGTTATTCATGATTTTGTTTATTAGAATCTGATAATATTGTTGCAGATTATTATTTTACGAAATTTGTTTTATGTATAAGTTTTCTACTTGGTACAAATCTATGTTTGTGTTCTTTATATTTTCTGAGATTATCCTTTATAAGTACGATACTCTTGTATTATGTAGTTCTAGTCAGAATTCTGTCACATTAATTTGAAAGTCGCAACTATTCCGATCTAATATCCCATTATTGAATTCAGAGACGCGCTTATATTTATGTGTTTACCATTTAGAAAGTTTTGTATCATATTTATCTGCTTATTTGGTCTGGTTTGTGCAGCATTGAATTCAGAGTCGTGCTTATATTTATAAGTTGCACTTGGAGCACTTTGAATACTATCCTCAACCCCGCTTACCTGAATCTTGGATGTAGCTTTCTGCCTCTTTTTCCTTGAATTCATCCTTCGCTCACGAAGAACTTTTGAACAGTTTTCACAATGCCAAGCATGTTCATTGGAGAGAAGCTCTGGCTTCGTGAAATACGCCAAACAGCTCTCTATGGACACTGGAGAATCACTATTATCGACTTCATCTGGATCAGACTCACTGCTATTTCTATCTAAGAAACCAGTTTCTGCAATTTCGTTTGCCGGAAAATTACTCACTTGACAAGGGTTTTACATCGGGCCCTGCAGCAATTTCTGGCTCATCAAATAAGTCTCCAAAGCCATCAAAGTCCAACGCATCTGGCTCACAGCCAACAGCTGACGATGAGACCTCACCTTCTCTCAATATCTCACCACTAGTTGAAGTTTCTTCTTTCTGAGGAAGCAACAGAACTTCAGAATCTTGGACCTTTTTGGTTATATTTTTGGAATGATAAGTGTCAATTTTTAATTTGTCATACACTCAATTACGTAGGACTTTACTTCCTTACACATCATTGAGAGTGTACTTGGAGGTCTCAAATGTAGGTCTTTAACATTATTCTTGTTTTATTGCTCTCTCATTATGAGAATTAGAAAGTGCCACTATATCAAATTTTTTGATGTGCCACTTATTGTACTGTTGGAAAATTTTTGAAGTGAAAATAATTCCATTTGAATGAAACTATTTATGGTGACTTTTTAGATGAAAAGGTTTGACCCAAGAGTCATAACCCTTTAGAATGGCCTCAATCACTTCTATATATACCATCCTCATGGTATTCATTTGTTAAGAAATTTTAGCATTCATACATAATGTTTAGTCATGTATACAAGAGAAAGTGCATGGCACAAATTAGCTCACTGTACATATAGAAAGTTGTGCAATTTCTGTGTGTGATAATTGTTGTATTATGAAGACAGGACGTCCATTAATTATAAGCACTAGAGGCAAGGGAAAATTTCTATCTTAAAGACACAATGTTCAAACACTGGCCTCAGTCACAAATTGTTCTAATTTTTGCAGAATTTTTGTAAGAAATTTCTTGTATTTTATTTTATTATTTGTCAGTATTAAATTGATTTATCCAAAAATATTTTCCTAAAATTTTAAGACAAAAATTCTCCTATCTATAGTGATACAGATTAATTCTTTTCAGTTAAATTAATATTTTGCAAATTTGGTTTCGTGCTTTCTGTAAAACTCCAGTATTGTTGCTGCATCTTTTCTCTGGTAATAGAATCGACAAACATAATTGGTAATTTTTACCTGAAATTGTGTTTAAGTAGAATTCTATTGCATCTTGTTTCCTGCTTTTTGTAAAACTCCAGTAATATTGCCACTGCATCTTTTCTCTGGTAATTGAATCGACAAACATGATTGGTAATTTTTACCTAAAACTATGTTTAAATAGAATTCTATTGCATCTTTATATTTTCCAGTATATTGATATCATTTCTATATTAAATTTATTATTCGACAAATTTCAATTTCTGTTGTGATTATATAGTTCATTTTAAATCTATCTTTGCATCTTTCATCTATGCTCCTTCCGTGTGTGATTTCTTCCTTGATATGGTATTGATTCTTTTTCTGTTTTGAATATCTATTATATAAGAGCAAGACATCCATTTGGTTTTCTAAAAGGTTGAGACTAACCTTTTATCATTTTGATTAGGACCTTTAAGTCATATTGAGTAAGTATGTCACATCAATTAACTTATTTAATGGATAATAATGTTTTTCAAAAAATACAGATTGTTAGTTTCTTTTCTGGATTTTGTTGTATATGCATTCTGTTTTCAATACAGAATTTTATTCTATGTTTTCTTTTTTTTGGAACGCTTTTGGTTTGTTTACCTATAGAATTTTGTATATTCTGTATTTAAAATATGATTTTACATGAATCTATGTTTGAGTCAAATTCTATTTCTTATTATGTTGTCTTTAACCGTAATTTTTGGTTATTCATGATTTTGTTTATTAGAATCTGATAATATTGTTGCAGATTATTACTTTACAGAATTTGTTTTCTATATAAGTTTTCTATTTCGTACAAACCTATGTTTGCGTTCTTGATATTTTATGAGATTATCCTTTATAAGTACGATACTCTTGTCTTATACAATTTTGGTGATACTACATGTATTAATTAATGTACATACTAGTATACCAATTAGTGTTATGTCATTATTACTGACTCCATCTATTATATAAATTACAAATATCTAAAATTTTTAAAATTATATTACATCATCTGTTAGTATATTTGTTAGTACATTAATTGCACATATAGGATTATTCAGATAGTTTTAGTTAGAATTCTATCACATTAATTCGAAAGAAAGAGTACATATGTTACTCCTGTGGGAGTTTATCTCTTGAATTTGAAGAGAAAATTAATTTCTTTTGTCACAAATATTTTTGAATAAATATAAGATGCATCAAATATATACTTGTCCAGTTTCTGCAATTTCGTTTGCCGGAAAATTACTCACTTGACAAGGGTTTTACATCGGGCCCTGCAGCAATTTCTGGCTCATCAAATAATTCTCCAAAGCCATCAAAGTCCAATGCATCTGGTTCACAGCCAACAGCTGACGATGACACCTTCTCGCAATATCTCACCACTAGTTGAAGTTTCTTCTTTATGAGGAAGCAACAGAACTTCAGAATCTTGGACCCGTAATGGGAGGTCATTTTCAAAAGAATTCCCTAAACCATCCTTGCCTCCAGAATCTTGGACTACTAATGCATCGTCAACTTTGGAAGCCATAACATGATCATCTGATAATGTATTGGGTTCAAGGTAATCCAACCATGTCAAATTGTCCAATGAACCTGCTGTTTCTACTATACAAAGAGAATGGATCTGCCTGCTAGATTCTATGCCATCCCGTAACAAGGCATCGTTTTGAACACCATATTGTTTTCCTGAATCATAAATTGCTGCAATATCTTTAGGTTTTGAATCTGTATCATTGTCATTTGACACAGGATCTGGTTCCAGGTAATCCAACCATGCTAAATTGTCAACTGAAGCCTCTGTTTTATCCATGACATTCTTGAGGAATGTATTCTTTTCAAACTCTTCAGCAGTCAAGAGATTTGATGAAACTGAACTCTTTTTATCTGCCAGTGTACTAGGGCCAACGGATTCAAACAGTGTATAATCGACCAAAGCATCTCCCACTTTTTCTTTGACAGGCACAGTAGATTCTACTTGGCAAGAAGATGAACCACCAGCTGACGGAACTGAAACACTTTCAGATGCTACAAAATCTGCATCCCTATTAAGCTTTGAATGAATCCTTCCACTTCATTTTGGAGGCAGCTTTGGTTTCTTGGCTCGAGAAATAGGTTGGGCCCTTTTAGATGGGGATTTCTTAGTTAGAACTGGAGTGAGAGATCTAGAAATGGGTTAAACACTGTTGAAGAGTGCCCACATTCCAAACAAGAAACAGTACTGGATAGTTGGCCCCCAAAGATGCCATCAACAAAAGTAGGACCTAGATTTGAGGAAATCCCATTTTCCAGAGAAGTAGTCTGCTTTCTTGCATTCAACTCTTCAGCACACAACCCATCAAGTAAACAACGAAGCAACTCATGACTGTCATGCTGTTGATACCCCCTAAATTGGGAAGCCTTGGCACAAACACACCCGAAAAAGGATTTTGGATTTATCACATTTCTCAAGCCAGCCTCTCGACTAGTTTCAATAAAGAGCTTCTTTAAAGAAACGGTAAGAGGATTTAGACTCATCCAATTCCAAGAAGTGATTCCGTAATCTCTCCATTGCTAAGAGATTCTGCGCGACTGAATTAAAGAAGCAAGTATTACCAATATTAACCAAGCCTTTGACCACATAACCACTTTTTCCATCCAAACTACTTACAATGGTGTTTTCTGATTTTATCTCACTTATAACACTGCCACTCCCAAAATAAACATCCTCAACATCCACTGAGGCCCCTTGAAATGATCGCCCATTTACCAGTTTCACAATATCTGACAGCGGACCTTTCTGTTCACCACTTTCCTCCAATTTTTCAATTGGAATTAGTGTATTGCAAGGGAAGCACTAGTGTAGTTGAAGGTTTTCAAATTGGATAGCCAACAGATGACGAGTTTGCCTGGCATGCTGAACTGCATGGGTTTGAGGGGTTGTTGGGAATCCAATCTCCCCACATGAAAGATGACCACATTCCAAACAAACCCAAATTGCTTTAGACTCGGGTTTCTTGTCCACAGAACCTCCCCCTTTCTTCTGCACCTGCTTGCCCCTTCCCTTACTTGCTCGCTTATCAACCACACCTTCTCTGCGATCTTCACATCTAATATGTTCTATAGACCTTATTCTTGAAGAAAATTTAGCTAAATCAATATCCTTATCAAGATTGGAACACACTTTCCTCTCTTTTATGACTGAAAGTCCATCATCAGTGCTTGGAATGCTTTGCTGGGCGACAGGTTCAGTTTTCTGAGGAAGGGTAGAAACTCGCTTCTCTGTATCACCACTTCGGGCTTTCTTCTTAACTTTTTTCGTCTATAAAATTATAATTGAGTTGGCTGATATTAACTTATTGAGTTGAACAAATTTGTAATTTTGTCTATAAAATTATAATAGATGCTACTCATGTGTATATTTTCAATAAAAAAAAAGAACTAGCAATTATAACAATTGGATCAAATTAAGACAAAATTATAAATTCATAATTAAAATTGAGCAAATTAAAATTGTAAGGACAAAAATAACACGAGTTAAAATATAAAAAATACCAATGTAATTTATTCTTTTAAGAATAACTACATAATTCTTAATTAATTTTAAAATTGTTAGTAAATATACCAAACAAATATGTACATATTTCCTATTTTTGTTATATTTTTTTTAAAAATATATTTACTAATTAAAAATTAAATAAGCAGGTGGGTCTACTAACTCATGGATTGGATATGAATTGGATGGTTCTCCAAGGACTAGGCTTAAATCAAGAATTATTGGCAAAAAAATCGACTTGAACTAAATTTTCTTATATAGCGATTCCGATTTTGACCCGACCTTTGTTGTATTCTGGATTTGGGTCTCGTTGTTGAATATTGTTATTCACGTCTTTTTTCTCTTTTCACCCTTTGAGTTTGAGTATTGGGATGTCTTGGGCGTGTTTGGAACAAGTTGGTTGCTAGTTGGTCTAAATTGTTGCCCAGATTTTAGCTTCTTCGCTTGAGCAAGCTTTGTGATCTTCCAGTAATTTTGCAAGCCTGCAGAGATATTGGAAAGGTGTTGTTATTCGCTCGAGCAAGGACTTTTGCACTCGAGTGATAGTCTTCTGCTTGTAAAATTTCTAGAAGTTTGTATTCTACATTCGAGCGACTCTTCTTGCGCTTGCGCTCGAGCGAGGCAACTTATTGTGTCTGGTCTCCTGAGCGACAACTCTTGCGCTCGAGCGAGCTTCGCGTATATCAGTTCGCAACAACACCTTTTTATATCACTTTTTGATATCTTTTCACTCAAAAACCCTAGACCCGCTCTCTCTCTTTCTCTCTCTAAAATCCGACTTCTCTCTACAAATACACCTAGATCTAATATCTCTCTACCCTACTCGCTTTGATAAAAAGATAAAGCATTCTGGGGGCTTCCATTTGATCCGAATAAAGTCGACATTGGACATCTTTGAGGTTTCTCCACTTCTCCTTTGGGCTTATACACTTGAGGTAGGGGCCTCTACACTTTAATATGAGTTTTAACTTGGTTATAGGTTGTTGTGTGAAGATGGTGACATTTAGGGGTGTTTTGGAGCAAACCTAGGGTTTGGATTCAAGTTGAAAAAGAGAGGTTTCTATGTGAGTGTTATATAAATGATTATGGGGTTTGGTTATGAGGTCATCTTGTGTTAAAATAGTTAATTTTGGCCTTTGGGTTAATATTTGGAAAATGGGGAGCTTTGTCCTAAAATGTCTTGAATAAGTATTTTGTGTAAATAATGAAATTGGTATGGAAAATGTGAAATTGGGAGGATGTGTACATGAGTGGTGTTGTTGGATTTGTTTAATCACTCACATATGGAAATTTGATGATTTATCTGTTATAGAGATTGTATATCTGTTTAGAAATATCTGCTTAGGCTATCGGTGGAGGATAGTCATAATTGTTGTAGACATTGTATATGGATTAGGCAAAATGGAACTAATTCCTTAACCATTATCATTGAATATGATTGTGAATGATATACATTGTCTATGTATGATATTCAGGAGAAGAAAGGAAATGGATTCCATTGAACTAAGTTGGCTAGTGTGTCCAGGGTAAAAGTCTCGAAAACCATTTGCATACATGGGTGCCGATTCCCGCGGACGAAATTTTCGTAAAATGGAAAATAGAAGTGAATGTATTTGTATGATGATTTTATCTGTTGGAAACTTGTGGGATGTAACTTCTGTTGATGGGTTAAATGCAGTGGATATATCTATTGAACAAAAATGAACAAATTGAGATGCGAGTTTGGTATAACATGGTTTTGGAAAGAGTTATAAAGATTTTGTCATAAGACAATGAACATGTGCATCATACTTCTATCTTATTAATTCTCATATATTGTGTTGGTATGTTTCTACTAGACTTTGGCTCACCTTACTTGGGAATCATTTTCAGGTGTTGGAGACATGCCTCCGCCAAGACAGTAGTTTGGAGAGACTTGGAGCAAGAGCTTCCTTTTATTTTATGTATTTTGTATAGTCAAGGGCTAAGTTGTGTTGAGTTAGACTCTTCCTTTTGCTATAACCAAGCAATGTCGTGGAAAGATGTAAGCCCGTAGGGCATTTATTTTGTTGATTATTAACTGGTAATACATGCTATAGATACAAGATGAACATTTATGAATGTATATTGCATGTGTTATCTTTTGTAATACCAACTCTGGTGAATGAAATCATACCAATTCTATTATACTCACTTTTCTTATGAGTTGGATTAATTGTTTTTTTTTTTTGGGGGGCGGGGGAGGGGGGGCGTTACATCTTAAATTGACTTGCACTAAATTTTCTTGACTACTTTTTAGTTTTTAATCAAATATTAAAACCCACTAAATTAGCTCATATCAGTCACGAATTGATAAGTTATGATAAAATTTAAATTTATTAGGACTATAATATGACCTACAATTTAGGGTGGCTCTATCTTATATAATTTTTTCATCCATAAATATATATGACTATTCATTTAATTGTTTTAACATAAATATATAGTTTTTTTAAACTAAGTTCAAAATTTTTAATTATTATAAAAAATACTTACAAATATCTATTTACTAATTTAATAAAT